CTATCTATCTATCTATCTATCTATCTATCTATCTATCTATCTATCTAGTTTTTTTCACTCTCTATCCCTGCTGAAGCCCCATCCCTTTTCTCCTCCCAGTCCCACCCACCCATCTTTTTCTCCCCCTATATCCTTTTCCTAGTCCCCCGATAGGGGAGGACCTCTTCCACTTCTATTTGACCCTCACTTTTCAGGTCTCATCAAGACTCGTTTTATCATCTTCATCTATAGGGAGGCTGCACCCCTAAGGGAGAGGTGATAGGATAAAGCAGTTAGAAGGAAAACTGGCAAAGAGCCTTGAAGTCATTTGCAAAGGAGACAACTTTCTGAACAGAGCACTAACAGCACAGGCTCTAAGACCAACAGTTAAAAAATGGGACCTAATGAAACTGAAAAATCTTCTGTAAAGCATAGAACACTATCCTCAGAACAAAACGACAGCCTACAGACTGGGAAAGATCTTCACCAACCTTTTATCTAACAGAGAGCTAATATCCAGAATATTAAAATGAGTGAAAAAATTAAACAACAACAAACCCTCTTTATTTTAAAATCCATCCCACTACTAAGAGCAGGCCACAGAGCATGCTGGTAAACACTTTACCACTGAGTCATATCAGAATCTTGATAACAGCGTATTGAAGACTGATATACATTCATCTTTTACCACATTTCAGTTAACAAAGCACAGATTTGAAAATCATATTTGAATGTATCTTAAAGTTGAAGTTGAGTACTTCAGAGGTGGCTCAGTCACAAAGTGCTTGCCTCATACAAGAGCAATGTCAGGACCCACAGAAGGATGGGAAAGGCATGGTGTTGAGCCTGTAAGCCAAACATTCCATAGGCAGAGCCAGGCAGAGCCAAGCAAAGCTGGTGATCTAGATTATTTGAAACTTTCAATAATAGAATTTATGATTTACTGTAAAATATTTTTGAATTTTATTTTTATTACAGTGAAAAAAAATTAAAAATATGAAGGAATAATCTAACTTGTCACTTCCAATGATAACTGATCTACAGCTAAAAAAATCTATTAAGTAACTTAAATGTACAGTGCATTTTACATACTAATCTAAGTTTTATATTTAAATCTAAATGCTCAAGTTTAGAATATGGAGCATTAACAAAAATGATGGGTTTGTGTACTCAGGGAGGCAGAGGCAGATGGATGGCTGTGAGTTTAAGGACTGCCTCGTTTACAAACAAGTCCGGGACAGCCAGTGCTACACAGAGAAATCTTGTTTCAAAAAAGGAAATAAAAATGATTATGTGAACATTTGTCAGATATTAAAAAATAATTAATTTCTAAAACAACATAATTGTACAGTTTAAGCAAATATAATAATAATAAGTATGTATTAAAATAACTTCAACGTTTTTCAATTCTCATTTGGTTTTATTCTCCAGGAACAATGGTTTAATTCTATTTAATTAAAGATATGACTTGAAAAAGCGCTATTGTAATATCATTGCACAGGGATATATCTCTGCATCTTTCATTTCCTGTAATTCAACTCCAAATATGAAAAATATCTATAAATGGATACTGTGGAATACTACCAAAGTATTCATTCCAAGGAGCTAATGATCAGTTACACACAAACTTCGTTTATGTATACATGTATATTATTATGTGTGTTAATACTGTAATATATGTATATCTATAACACATGCTTAAATTTCAAAATACAACTGAGGACTCATCCATTGTGTTTAAAGAAATTGGAATCTTTTTTACAATTGTCTTTTTTACAAATAGTAAAAAATCTTTTTTACAAATAGTCTAGTGACAGTCACAAATATATGTATATGTATATATACATATGTATTTGTTCTCTATAATATAATATATTAATATTCCTTTTGAAACTGTGAAGCAATTTCAGTGACTGAGAAAAAAATCCAAACATAAAGAAAACTTATTTACTTTATATCCCCCAAGGGAAAATTCTATGACTGAAAAGTAAGTAATACATTTTAACTTATTTGCCCTAGACTTTCATCTTTGACATGAAGTAGAAGTAGTTGGAACTCAGCATTTCTGGAAGTTTCTTCCTGTCTTTCTTTCCATGGGCTGAGTTGTGTAGGTAATTAAATTTCTTATATAAGGAGTAGTTGTTAAGACAGTGCCAAGATGTAAGAATTAATGAGTAGGAGCTAAGAATACTGGATTAAAATATTTCTTATATTACTTTACATATCTTGTACCTAAAATTATATATTGCATTCTAATGCTGTTTTGAAGCTTTGTCTATGAAGTTTTAATGTTGACACATATATGAAAGCTTAAGAATTCTACAGTGGTGATGGCAGTGGAGGAGGGAAAAGAACATGTGAAAAAGTAAAGAAAACATAGCATAAAATACGCAGTGAAGCCAGAGAGAAATATGAAAGACATCTTGAAATTAGTGGTGACTGGCGGAAGATGTTCAGAGTTTATGTACTGGCCACATGGACATATTCTTTTACTCTTATTGAATAAACAGCATGGAATGTATATATGTATTATATAATATGTATTACATATATTATATTATGTATTACATATAATATGTATACATATGTATACAAGTGAACAATATGTATCTCATATATTTATAATATTATTACATATATTATATAATACATATATACATTCCACATTGCTTTATATAACTTTATATGTATATATCAGTATATTTTCAAATATCATTAATACCAACTTGTTAGAAAGTTTGGTAGACAACATTTATATTGTCCTTAATATAAGCAAAATATCAGAAAAACATAACATTAGTTAAATCTGAAACTAAAATTTTCTATCATATTTTAGTTTATTTTCTGAATGGCTCCTATTTTCTTTTACATTTTGCCTTCTGAATTTGAAAACAGAGCAAACCAAAACAAAGCTCAAGTATTTATTAACTTGAGTGTTCTTATATGTTCATAAGATAGTTATTTAGCAGTTACAGTAACATGTTAACAGAAATATATTTCACTTAATAAAATCATTAAAAATAACACTATGTGAATGGTGGTGCTCAAAGAATTCAGTTGGAGACATAAGTTATATTATTTATTTCCAAATATTTACTTATTTTCATTCCTATTTTATTCATACTTTCATCATAAACAATTTACCATATCTTTATTGAAGTCTTCCTCTTTCAGATTCACCCCTTGCTGAATTTCAGCCTCCAGTGGTTCAAGCAATTTTTGTATATCTGAGTTAAACTGCTCCAATTCCTTCAAAGGAATGGAGGCCTAAAAAAAAAGATAGTGCTTATTTAAATCAAAATTACTTTTTATTAGAAACATAAACCAAATGAAATACATTTATTCAGACCCCTGTTGCTAAAATAATGACATGCATTATGATTCCATATTGATGTTTATGAAGGTTTTGAAAAATAACTAGGAAAGTACCCGAGAATGCATATATGGAGAAACATTTGTCACCAGAGCAGAACAAACATGCATGATAATGTGATTCATCAAGATCAAAATGGCCAATTTACATACATTTTCCTGTGCTAACTTTTAATATTATAAAGTTGAATGTAACTTATTTTAGACATTCTGATATTATAACATTTTTAAAATTTTACATATTTATTTATTACAGTTTATTCACTTTGTATCCCTGCTGCAGAAAGTATACATTTAAGTAAATATGGCTTTCCAAAATTGCCTCATTCATCAATAACACTGGTAAACACTGGAATTTTTACCTTCTATTTAGATCAACCATGTGGCAATCTGCTGATATATTTCAAATGCCATATTTAGCATAGTAAAAATTTCTGGCATGTTCTCCTAGGGCATCACTATAACTTGCTCCAATAAGGTTTTGTTAAATGACACAAATACATATTTATAAATAAACCCCCAAATATTTCATATATTTTCTAACATATTTAATTATAAAATCATTACTGACTATTATCTTAAAATAACTTAATAATCCCTTGGTTTCTCAAATGAAACACTTGAAAATGCATGAAAATACATTGAAAATACAATATTCAAAAACAAACAATCATTAAATTTCTGTTAATAAAGTCTACTTCTTTTACTCTGTTAAATATCAGGTTGTATTGAATTTGATAATAATATAACACTACAAATTATTTTTTACTTGACCATTTTTAAAATACCATAAATGGGCAACAGGGACTGTCTCTGGCGTTAACTCAGTGACTGGCTCACTGATCACCTTCCCCTGAGTGGGGAGTAGCCTTACCAGGGCACAAAGGAGGACAATTCAGCCAGTCCTGAAGAGACCAGATAAGCTAGGGTCATATGGAAGGAGAGGAGGACCTCCCCTATCAATGGACTTGGAAAGGGGCAGGGAGAAGATGAGGGAGGGTGATTTTGGGAGGGAATGAGGGAGGAGGCTACAGCTGGAATACAAAGTGAATAAACTATAATTAATATAAAAAATAAAAATTTAATAAAAACATAGATGACATACAAAATCTGGTTTTCTTTCACATATATTTCATGTCATAGAAATAATAAGAAAATGGCCACGCATTTATGCCCACGATAATTACTTTTATGTGGTTTATTTTCTCTCTATTCTTTCTTAGTTATACATATTCTTAGTTATAGATATTCTATTCCCGGGTATAGGATCACATCACCAGTTTTAGATGAAAATAATAAGAAAAATTAGGATTTGCACTCAAGAAAAATCTGAGTATCTAAAAGTAATTTGTTTCCAGTGGGTGACTGAATAATTATTGCTTTTAATGAAAACATAACTGTAACAGAAATATGAATAATGACAAATCTTTAATGACCTCTCTGATCAGTGAATGGTTTAAAGGATTCCCTTAGAATGACCTATTATAGAAGTTTTACTTCAAATTTTAATGATGGTTTGTCATTTGAAATAAAATAATTTTTGAAATTGTAGAAACTGCAATACCCTAAACTTAAATAAGATTGCAAACTTTCAATTATTATCATACTGCCAGGGATCACATGCATATAGAATCCAAATATATACACAATACCTATCTGGTGGCACTCTAATTTATAGAACTCTTGGTCATCTTGGTGATACTCAGTGAGACCAATTAACTGTTCAGCATCACTTTATGGATAAAAATAAATATTTAAAGTAACTTTTTTTCATTGGTTGGATACAAAAATTTGTATTTGTGGTCAGAGTTACCTGTTTTGCTTTACCAGCTTCTTTGCTAGCTCATTAATTGTTCACAACCCAAGTAGAATAATTTAAAGTCTCAAATCCATGGATTTTTGTGACTCTGTCCCAAATTTTCTTCCTTAATTATTTTTTTTCTGAAACTCCATGTCTTTCAAATTGTTACATTTAGCTGCGGACTACCTTTTGAAATGCTGTCTAAATTCCTAACAGCTAAATAATTTCTTAAATTCAACACATCTGGAACTGTGCTTTTCTTCAAAATATCAGTGACACCACTTAATCTAATTTTGTTAACACCACATCTCTATTCTTATCCAATCATTCTCAAAACACAAACCATGTCGATCTTGGATGTATTCTTTTAATTTCTTATGGTCCAGTTTCTTCATAAGCCCAGTAATAACAAAGATCTCCAAAGAGGTGTCTAATTCCCATCCTTATCAACTAGATCCACCATGTGTATAGTGATCAGGTCAATATGCCCTGAATTAACCACTACAACAATTGTACTTTTGCTGTAGAGGAACTTAACCCATATAAAACAGAAAGAAAACAAAAACATGATGTATGCTTTCGCATGATACCCTCTCTTAATCTTTTATTGTGGGTCTTTGTGGGTTTAATAAAGTCTTCCTAATATAGAGTTGCTTTGTAGGCCATTTGGTCATTCTTTGCTATCTTTTTCAAGATCAAGTCTCTCATATTCAAGTAAAGAACATGAGTACTTGACTTAAAATTCATATATTGAAAGTGGTCTTTACATACTAGCTGAGAAACTGTAGGCAACCTTTGCTTTTAGCTTTTCTAGAATGTAGATTGTTTTATTTTTAACACTGAAAAAAATCTATCTCAAAATAATGTTATGAGGCTCAAGTGTGCTATGTTTAACTGAAATATAATAAATATTCATTTAAAAACTTCTATCATTGTCTCCCAAATTTTATGAACCTCTGTAATGAAAATTATTGCTCAATATATCTTAGCTCAAATGTTCATCTCTAAATCATAAGTATTTACCAGATTTTCCTCTTTGGGAAAAGTTTCTGAAGGATAAATACATTGTGGCTTTATGTTTTTACTTTGCCAATGAATAATAAAAACAGAAAATAATTGAAATCTAATGTTAGCATGGAAATTTTCTGATTCTAGATTGACAAACTTTATCACACAGGAAAAGTAAAGTTCATGTATTATCCTATAGTATTAAGACAGCCATTAATGTACTTTGGTTTTGCCCTCTGAAGTATTTTTATTAGGAGTTATTTGAAGAAGTTCAGAACAAGTGAGACAATGTCCACCATTTATTAGAATGGGTTTGTTTCACTTTATCTAGAGTCATTCCTTCTATGGAGTAGATACTCCAAAATATTTTTTTCTAGAAAGGGTATTAAGCATTGTTATAACACTATTCTGGCATGGCAGAATGAATGTTTCAAGGTGTCATGTATGCATATATACATATATAGTGTTTGTGATCAAACTCATAGTATTTCACATAAGAGATAAACACTATAACCTGAATTATTTATCTCCCCATCCACACAATTTCTAAAGATAATATTCAAAAGTTCTGATTGATGCTCTACTATTCATTTGTAAAATATATTGGTGAAGTAAATGATACATAGAGCATGATATAATCATATACAAAAAGCAAAACCCAAATGAAAACAACAAAAGACCATAGCCAACAAACTGCTGACATAAAAAGACTTTAAGCAGTACTATAACAAAAATGAATATAAATTTAGATAAAGAGTAGAAACTTATACAATTTCTTTTCAGCAAAATTCACAAGGTTGATACTTCTTGGAGTAAAATTACTCTATATTTGGTAAAAAAAAAAAAACTATATGTGGGTAACAGATTAAATATTACCAGTGTTCTTCCAAAATGAATAATATAAACTAGTAAAAAGTACTTGAGACTGCACTTTAGGCTAACATAAGAATAAGATTAGGACTGGGACAGTTTTAAGCCTTATGTCGCAAGTTATTCATTGTTGAAAATATAAAAGCAGATGTTAAATAAGGATGCATTAGGTCATATATTTAAAATATGACTATTTTAACATGAGTATTATATTATAATCTAACACCTCATGATTAAATATAATCTCTTAGTTCAAGCAAGGTGTTCTGAGTACTATAGCTCAATATAAATATAATGAAATTCATAACTGCAATTTAAATTGAACAAGTTGCTGTATTAAGAACAGAAAATCATTTTATTTTCAATAATATGTGCACCATATTGTCTTCCAGGATTAAGTAATACTTCATTTCAGTAACATTTTTAAAACGTATTCTTTTAAATGATAAAAATTAATAATTATATTTCACATTCATTATTTCAAACCAAAATTTTAAAATATAGATATTTTCATAGTTATGTCACATCTTATTTAGATTATGTAAATTTTAAATGATTACTAGACTATCATTTGTGTAGATCTATACTATATCAGCTATTCCATTTGTTAAATTATAGTGCTCATTATTAACTAGAAATTTCTGCATCTTATCAATATTCCTAAAATTGTGAATATTCAAAATTTTATTGGGTTGCATTTAAGTTAGACGCATATAAACTGTATTTAACATAAGTCTCATTCACATTGATTTTAAGTGCTGTATTTTATTTTTTGATTATATTTTTTGAGAGATTTTCCAAATAACTCTTTTGGTATGAAAAATTTCATGTAGGTTTTACCTAGAATTTCAAGATTCTCTATACCCTGTTTACTTGTGAGCCCAAACTACTTTTTCACTACCCTTTATGAATTATCTCTTATGTGTTATCTAATCACTTGTATAATTTTCCCAAAAAGATTTTCAGTCCTTGAAGTTAGAAACATATTTTGTATCATCTTCCGTTTTGCATAATGTAAGACTTCTTTTTTTAATGAAAAGAATCTTTATTCTATATATTACTAGTTTTAAGGCTACTTGAACATTGATTATCAATGATCATTTCATTTTTTACAATCAAAATAAAAGTAGTTAACTAGCCCAATTTTTTCATCTATTTACCTGAAGAAATCAGCTACTCAATATACTTGTTAAAACTATTGCTTGTATATAAAATT